ACTTTGACACTGAAAAAGCAACAGTCCTTTCAGCTTTCACAGAGAAAGTGCAACGTCTTCATTTCCCCCTTAGTGAATCATTAACTTTTTTTTGTGCAGAAAACAACAAGTGCAGCTGGCAACATTGCCTGGCTGGCCACTTTGACTGACCTCAACACTCACTTTTGTTGTTCACTGGAAACTTTCATCAAATTGGCCATAAAAGCTTGACAGCGACTGTTCACTAGACAAACGTGTCATCAATTTTTTAACTGCACAGCAATACCCTCAAATATTAAAAAGACGCTTCTAACTCTTTATGCCACCCACAATGACCTTCATTTTGTTTATCACTATACATCATTTTTTATTTATCAGCAGTGTGTCAAACATAAAAGAACTAATGACAAATTATATACAAGAAAAACGGAGAAAACAGTGTGCACATAAATTAACGACTTGAAGTAATAATAAATAAAGTGAAAGAGAGCAGGGAGAGAGAGAGAGTCTGCATTGGCTAACTAGTTTGTTTGAGTATGTCGTATACGCTGAGTTTGAAGAGCGCAAATGAAAGAGAGAGAAAACGTTGACACGAAAGTCGGCGCAGAAGCTAGTGCAACTCTTGTCAGAAGCCAGACAAGAAGAGTGCTGAGTGGAATGAAAAGATCACCATATGGAAGTGAATGGCAGTTTGAAGTNAAGAGTCTGCATTGGCTAACTAGTTTGTTTGAGTATGTCTGAGTTTGAAGAGCGCAAATGAAAGAGAGAAAACGTTGACACGAAAGTCGGCGTTGGTGCAACTCTTGTCAGACAAGAAGAGTGCTGAGTGGAATGAAAAGATCACCATATGGAAGTGAATGGCAGTTTGAAGTGCGTGTGTTGTGCTGCAGTGTACACTCTGGGTGCTATATTTGGTTTGCAGTAGCCGCAAACTTTGACTGTGGCTGCTGCTGTTGAAAGCACTGCTGCTGCAGGTAGTTGGTCATCTTTCGGTAGAGGTGTGCACTTGATTTCAGCAGATAGTGATTGTCTGCAGAGAGGAAAACAAAAGAGAGTCGATAAGTGTGAAACGATCGATCAATTAGACAAGAGAAGGGGAGAGGGGGCAGAGAAGCATGACAATGGCTCCTTTTATTAGCAACAGCAGCAGCAGCCAAACTGGGGGCAAACAGTGCAAACTTACCGTCGGGGTAGATCTGCACGTCATAGTCAATGTTCAGCTCATTCAGCTTGCGAATGAGCAGCAGCGAGTGCTGAATGTGCACATTGTCTGAGAGTGTTGGTGGCGGTTATGGTGGTGGTGATGATGATGATGATGATTATAATTGGTGGTGATGAGGTGTTATAATTGGAACACAGAGAGGTTGTAGTGAGGGTGATTATAATCAGGAAGTGAAAAAAGGTGCAAAAAAGAAACACTTGTGCACTTACCATCACTGGTGCCGAAAACGATGAGAAACTTTTTCTTCTTAAGCAGCAGTGCATTGTCGAGCAGATTTGAGTCCTCGTACGAGTAGAGGTTGCGGTTGTCGGGCACGCCGAGGTAGCGCTCCGAATAGGCGGAATCTATACAGAAGATTAGTTTTCTTTCACCTCTCCACAGCAATCATCTCCCACTTACCGTAGTACATCCAATTGGACACCGGTGCGACGGCAATGGCGCAGGCAAAGAGGCGATTGTCAAACTCGCGAATGAGCGACATCAGCGAAAAGTAGCCTCCGTAGCTCCAGCCCCAGACGGCCACCCGCGTGGGGTCAATGTAGGTGAGATTGTTGCGCAGGTACCAGACGACCTCAATCAGGTCGTCCACCTCGAGGTGGCCCACATTGCGGTACAGCTGGTGCATGTACCGCACCCCCTGGTGACTGCTGCCCCGGACGTCCACCCTTGCGTAGATGTACTCCCGATCGGTGGTCAGGTGGGAGCTCCAGTGGTTCATCTCGTACTTGTCGCGCACCATCTGCGTGCCCGGCGCCCCGTACAGCTCAATCACCAGCGGATACCGACCGGTGGTCTCCTCGTCAAAGCCCGGCGGCAGTATCAACTCCACAATGGCGTCCTCCTCCGCCTGTTGGCCGCTGTCCGCCAGTCGGACAAAGATCTTCTCATAGCGCGGAATGTGCTTCTCGCGGAGAAAGGCGTACAGCCTGGAGTTGGTCTCCAGGGTGGCCAGCAGGTCGTTGGTGGCCGAGCCGCGCAGCTCGACGCGCGGAATCTCGTAGCCCTTGCACTCTAGCACGTATCGGGTGGCCAGCTGATTGAAGGTGGCCTCGTTGAAGCGGCAACTGTTGCCCAGGTAGCAGGTAAGGCAGACGACGCCTGGTGGTGGTTGTGGTTGTTGTTGTTGTTCAGTAGAAGAGGAGAAGGCGGTCATCTTCTCCAGCAGAGAGACCTTCATGATGTGCTGCACCTCAGGGTGGTTGGCCAGCGTGGAGGCGTAAAAACTGCAAAAAGAAAAAAATGTTTCAACATAAAAGAGTGTCACTTGTTTTGTTTTTTTTCTCGCAACTTACACTTCACTGCTGACCGGACTGTAGGCAATCAACTTGATGACGTCAAACTTGCCGTCCGTCAGAAAGGTGATGCTTTTGTTCTGTGTGTTGTTAGTTGATGAAAAGTTTGTTAGTGTCAAGATCCACTTCAAGACTTTTAGTTTCACTACCTTGACATTAATACAGGCCACGTGATAGTACTCACTGCCACCCTGTTGTTCACCCTTGTTCACCCACTTGTTGACTCTTACCAGGACGGCATTCTGGTCGGGAGCAGCGAGGAGGCCACTCTCAAAGCCATCCACCCAGCCCTTGTCCGCCCTCAGTCGGTAGATCTCCTCACAGGACCAGCTGTTGGTCCGTTCACAGAGCACCAAAATGGAAAAACTCTGATTTCTGCCTGTCCACGCCACCAACAGGCGTTCATTGTCGTACCAGGCGACCTTGCTGACGTAAAAGCCGTCACTGCCTTCTTTGACTAGCTCATCGGGCGGGCGGATTTGCTTGACGCGAATGTGCTCCACAGAGGAGTGCAGTTCGACCATGAAGAGGCTGACCTGGGGATTCGCAGTGCCCGGTTTCGGGTAGCGAATTGACTCGATGGACGGATACCTGGAAAAGGAATTTATTTCGTTAACTTGCTTGATGTAACTAAAGCAAACAATCATACTGATTATTGGATATGTTGTAGTAGTCCCCGTAGCG